CCCCCCGAGAAAAGTGCGCTGTTTTGCCTTTATTTAAAAAAATGTAGTTTTGACTGTATATGTCAAATGTCAGCTCAGAGCTTCCGTAGATAAAGTCGTGATCTTGATCGCGGTACTGGCTGCTTCTAATTCTGAGGCGAGGGTACCATCTTGTGGTGCTTTGTAGTAACGGCACGCGATTTTGTTTTTCGTCAGGCGTTTACAGCATCTACCAGTCAAAACATTCAAGAAAACATTTTTGGAGATGAAATATTTTTGGGGAATTGTGAACACAGGCCGTTAACTTTCCCTGGGGTGTGCACTTTTTTAAGCAAATATAATGGCACTGTACTGTAGTTACTGCAGTTAACAGTACTAACAGTGTTAAAACGTACCGCACATATCACATGAATAAAAATTCTGGGTCTTTAGTATTTACAGTGATAATATTAAACACTGTGGTGAAGTCTCATTGCCGCTGCTTTAATAGTTGAAATGATAAAGTATTGTGTGACCTGGATAATATGCCAATATGACCTTTTTATGGCACCACATAAGGAGTCGCTTTCTTCTTGGTCGCAGCCATAAAAGCATCCACTCTTCCGGAAAGGCTTTCCTCAGGATTTTTGGAGAGTCTCAGGGTGAGACGTGGTCCATTCATCCACTAGACTACAGCCTTTTTGGACAGATGGTAATGTTGGATGATAGAGTCTGTCTTGCAATTGGATAGTTTATTGTAGAAGTGCTCACAGGGGTTATTCTCTTGGAGTGGGGCACTAAAAATCTCCAGCAACAGAACCATCCAGCCCAGCTTTTATGGACTTTGCTTTATGTTCTGCCAGGTGGGGGCAGGAAACGGTCTCTCCTGAACTCTTCCATTAAAGTTTCAAGCATTAAATTGTCCGAGATGCTTCGGTGAGATTAAACATTTTAATCCAAAGTCATATTGGAAATATACTCCTCAATATAACGGTTAGGAAGGTAATGTTGACACAGCTTTTACCAAAATCCAGACCCTGTGACTCTGACGTTCAGAAAGACTAGGATAACTCCGATAATAATTTTTTTCAGACTTTTTCCTCATTAAAACAAATAAAAAATATAATTAAAAATATAAACATTAAGCAAAAATAAGAATATTGTTAGACAAAAATTTAGGAAATGTCTGAAAAAAATAATTTATTCTAAGGGTAATTTAATTCAAATTGGAATTAAAGAATCAAAAATATGAGTTACCTGCACACATATGTTACACTCACAGAAAATGACAACGGGCCGCATTAAATGATGTGATGGGCCAGATTTGGTCCACGGCCCTTAAGTTTGACAGTCTTGGAAGTTTTAATTAAATTAAATTGAAATTATTTTTGCATTGTCCAAAAAGAAAGAAGAAAAAGAAGAAAAAAGAAGAAAAAAGCTGGAGAAGAAAGGAACAGGAAGAAAAAGAAGAAAAAAAGAAAAACACTGGAGAAGACAGGAAGAAAAAGAAGAAAAAAAGAAAAAAGCTGGAAAAAAAAGGAACTTTTTTTTGTTTTGTGTGTGTGTGTGTAAAGAGCAGGAAGTTCACGTCTAACAACAACTCTACTGTTCTGAACATGAAACAGAAAGCGTGACAGAGTGAGAATGCTCAGCACAGAGCGGAGCAGGCGTCGGTGTCAACAGATGACATTGATGTAGATCAGATGCAGCAGGAAGAGTTGGTTCAGTGGAGGTGGGTGAAACCACACGCTGCGACGCAGGAGCAGCAGCTCCGACGACTAACGCAGATTCTCTTGGTACAGACAGAGATCTGAGCCGTCGGCTGATGCAGACTGACACACTTCACGACCTGCTTCAACTAACACTACACACTGTTAGGATTATATCCATCAGTCACCAAATGTAGAGTGAGAGTTTTTGTCAATCTGATGTTTTTAATAACGTGGTTTAACTAGTTTCTCAAAACCAAAAGGTTTAGGAATTTATGGAATCTTTAATATTTCGAAGATAAATAATAAGAAGAGGAATAAGGAAAATGAGTAGGAGAAGAAACGAAAACCAATATAAATGAAGAAGAAGAGGAATAAGGAAAATGAGTAGAAGAAGAAACAAAAACCAATATAAAAGGCATTAATTTGGCCTTCATATTAAATCAAAGAGCCAATAATTAAAAAAAAAAACTAAAAAAAAACCTGTTGATCAACAAGGCCAATTTTTATGTATTAAAAAAATAAATGTCCTGCTATAATAAAGTTAATAAGAATGTTCAATGTTCACCTTCAAAAGTAATAAATTAAACAGAGACACAGTTGAATGACATTTGAATAATAATTATTACGCTAATAAAAAAAATCCTTAACTATAGAAGGAAGTCTTTGTTGCTAAAGCCACTCTGTTAGAGAGGCATGAGAGTCGACCATAAAGATCAGGATGCCACCCGGTGGTTAAAGTGTGAAAGAGTAGCAGGGCAGTCCTACACAGCCATCAGACTAAATAAATGTTATTCATTACACCGTGCAGTCTGGGAAATTAACCGTATAATAAAATGTCTCTGCGTGCAATTCCAAAAGCG